TTGACTAAATTTTAGGTTAAGAATCTGGAAGAGATTCTTAGTGGTTTGTGAGCATCTAGAAGAGGAAGCACTGGCTACCAGGACTCAGGGTGGATGCCCCCTGACCATTCCATACTAGATCAGCCTCATTTCACAGGGTTATATACTGATGCATCAGGGAAACTTAATAGATAGAGTTGTATTTGGGCTTTGGCATTCTATTTCACAGGGCTTATCCTATTTATGTGGGAAAGAAAAAGATAGAAGATTAACTGAATTAGTGTCTGATTATAATAGCAGAAATAACAATGGATCATTGTCATCATGAAGAGTTTGGTGATGGAATGCCATAAGGCTTTATCCTCCACTCTGTCCTTTATGGCATCTTATCAGTTATTTGAATAAAAAAAAAAGTCTATAATATTTTGTTATAGATAGATAGATAAATATAAATAAAACAGATAATGTTTATTAAGTTCATAGATGGGACAAAACTGAGAGATAAAGTGAATATATTCTGACAGAAACAGGGCCCCAAAATATCAGCTCAGATGTTATCTCCTTAGGAAGGCTCCCATGATAGCCCACTTTCTCCAAGTCTGTATTCAGTAGCTCTACTTCATTCCCAAAATAGTGTGCATTTATTTAGCAGTCTCTTATTGTGCCTGCTCAGCTTGCAAGTCTCTCTCTGTGCAGGCGATTGGTCTTGTGTCTCTATTCCTTATACCTCACACAGTGGGTAGCAGTTGCTTGATGAATGTTTGTTGAAAGAACTAGTGATGACGACCCACATTGAAAGGCTGAAACTATTAAATACTTAATAAGGATAAATATAAAACCCTGCACTTGAATCCCCTGCAAACAAAAATAAATAAGCACAAGATAGTGAATGCATGAGAAAGAAATAAGGTTTTTTGGAAACAGTATGATATCACTATCTTTGCCTACCTCCTCACCCCCTACTCAAAAGATATGAGAGTCCCTCGCTTTGCTGATTAGGCCACACCTGTTGTGTAATGTTAAGTTCGGAATGGTACATTTCAGAGAGGAAATTGACAAACAGAAACTTGTTCAGAGGAGCCACCAGGACTATGAAGGACCTGCAAATCTTAACCATTGTCATTCATTCATTCACTGAACAAATTATGTTAAGCATCCAGTATTTTCCAGGCAGTGTAGTAGGTATTAAGTATAGAGTGGTGGGGGAAAAATAATCTCTGGGAGCAACTGGAGAAAATAAAGTTATTTGTGGAAATAAATGAAGACGATCCAAATGAGAACAAATGAAGTCTGTTTATTCAGAGTCTTCTATAGAAAGGAAATCAGCTACCACCACTTACAATTGGCAGACTCAAAGGTAGGCAGGGGAGTGGGAAAGCTTTAGAATAAATGAAAGAAAAGGCTTCAGGTATGCTTTGATTGGAAGTTGTTGGCATGGGGAAGTTGGAGGCAGGCTAACTAGAAGCAGGGTATCTTATGTGGTTTGTTTGGGGAGTATATTTGACTTTCTGGTTGGTCCCGAGTTGGAAGCAGGGGCAAAAATTAGGGAAGCTGGTAGTCATTGACCCAAGTTCTGACTGTTCTGCAGAGGTTATGATTTGGCTTCCCAGGCTGGTTGCTCAGAGGTTGTGAGAGTTCTGTTGTGATATGTGGTCTAGTTGTTGTCCATTTGTATATTCAGTCTCTCATATTGAACATTGGAAAAAGAAGATTCAGGAAAGAGCCAGAGGTACGTTGATAACTGTATTCAGCAGATTGATAACTGTATTCAAGTACTTGAAGGTCTGACATGTTGGAAAGGCATTTGTTCTTCATGGTCTCAAGGGATCAAATTAGGGCCAGTGGCTTGAACAAGGAAACACCTTTCAATTCAATATAAGGAAGAACTTTCTAAACTCATTGCTATCTAGATGTCATGGATTGAATTGTGTCCCCCAAAAAATGTGTGTAGCAACTTGGCTAGGTCATGATTCCTAGTATTGTATGATTGTGTTATCTGATGTGATGTCCTTATGTGTTGTAAACTCTACCACTATGATGAGATTATGTGTGATCTCCTCATGTGTTGTAAATTCTATCACTGTGATGAGGTTATACTGATGAGGTTGACAAGATCAGTGTCTTAATGCAATCTCTCTTGAGATATAAAAGAGAGAAGCGATCAGAGACACATGGGAACCTCATACCACCAAGAAAGCAGTGCTGGGAGCAGAGCGTGTCCTTTGGACCTGAGGTTCCTGCGCAGAGAAGCTCCCAGACCAAAGGAAGACTGATGACATGGACTTTCCTCCAGAGCCGATGGAGAAAGCGTTCCCCTGGAGCTGATGCCCTAAATTTGGACTTGTAGTCTACTGGACTGTCAGAGAATAAATTTCTCTTGGTAAAGCCACCCACTTGTAGTATTTCTGTTGGAGCAGCACTAGATGACTGAGACACTAGATAATCTCAGACAGTGTTTACCTGCTACTAGAAGAATTCATACCTAGGCTGGACGACCTCCTGACAGTGCTATTACAAAATAGATCACAAACTTCGGCATGTATCAGAATCACTTGATATTTGTGTTATCGTTGAAGAATCTTGGGCTCTGTCCTAGATCTACTGAATCTGATCAATGGGGTATGATAAATGATTCTCTTAAGAAACATTTGTGGAAAGAATGCAAACGCTGGATGTGTGGTTGGACTAGACGGCTTCTAAGATTCCTTCCACCCTAAGTGTCTAAGATTCTAACTTTTGCATAGCATAGTCACAACAGGAAATAAACCATTCATTTATTTAACAATATTGATTGAGTAGCTTATAGTATGCCCACATTCTACTTTTGGTCTACATTTTAATTCCGTTAGTATGGTGCATCCCTGCATGAGAGAAATAGAAGAGATAGGAATAAAAATAACATATTCATTCTTCCAAGATTTATTAAGCATTTTCTGTGTGCTGGAGCATTGTGCCAGGCTCTGGTAAGATGGTGATGAACAACACTGATACAGTCTTTGTTCTTTCAGAGCTTACACTAGCAGAAAAAATAGACAAAAGGTATTTACAGTAAAGGGTGGTACATGTTGTTATAAAAAAGAGAAAATGGTGTGAAAACATCAGGTCATAGTTTTGTTTTTTTCCCCATATCATAGCTCCAATTAAAATTCAATCAGGTTATTTATAGAGAAAGTAGTACTTCCTTTCCTAAAATTTGCTTTAGGTTTTAAGTAAAAATTGAGGGACTTTGGACCTAATCCCAGGAATGCTAGGAGAAGGCTTCAGAATGGCAGTTTGTACTTAAAACCTCTTTAATCAAAACTGGTGAGTCTACTGTTGAATAAAATAATCAAAGGGACATTCTTTATTCAGGTTGGCTCTGGGTATCTTAGAAAGTGATTCTGGGAATTCAGGATTCTTTGGGTTCTAACACCTGTTTCTAACCCTATTGCAATGGAGATAATTTGTCCTATATGTTTTCAAGCAAGTTCTTATTCAAAATACCATGTCTTTTGTTGTGTAGTATACAAGATAGAGCATAAGATGGGAAACGGCTGTCTAGGATCTAGTTCTGGCTCTTCTGCTAATTAGCTAGATGACCTTGGACTTCTCTGGGCTTCATTTTTTTCAAAATGCTAAATGATCCTTAATTAGCACTAGACTTCTGATTTGGTAGAACTGTATGGAGGAAATGATGTCATTTTGCACCTGTCTCTCCCTCCTGCCTTCTTTCAGCCACAAAAATACTTTAGAAGCCCCATCACTACCACTGAGTGAATGCTGAAATAACTTGCTTTTCTAGTCTGGACATCTGTTTGCTGAAGCCTTAAATTTCAGTATCCATCTGTTTATCCAGCCTGAGTGACTGGACTTAATGCCAGGTCCCTAGGGAAGGAATAGTTCAACTCCTTTGAAGGAGAACCTTGACCTAGGTAGTAATTCTAGCTGTTACCAAGGGTCTTGTTTCAAACACAGTAGACCTTCCCAACAGCAACAACAACAAAAAACAAACAAAAACTACAGACTGGTTGCCGTTGAGTCAGTTCTGACTCCTGGCAACCTCACGTGTGTCAGAGTAGAACTCTGCTCAATAGGGTTTTCAATGGCTGATCTTTCGGAAATAAATCATCAAGCATTTTTTTCCGAGGTTCCTCTGAGTGCGCTAACCGCTTGCGCCACCCAAGGACCCCGTAGACCCCCTTGTTGTTGTCCTTAGGGGCCGTCAGGTTGGTTCCAACTCATAGCAACCCTGTGTACAACAGAACGAAACCCTGCCCGATCCTGCACCATCCTCACAATCGTTACGCTCAAGCCCACTGTTGCAGCCACTGGGTCAATCCATCTCTTTGAGGGCCTTCCTCTTTTTCGCTGCCCTCTACTTTACCAAACATGATGTCCTTCTCCAGGGACTGATCCCTCCCTCCTAGACCAAAGATATTGCTACTTATCTAATAGTATCTCCATTGCTTAAACACTCGTACTATGCCCCCACCTGCCTTATCAAATTCCTCCCAAACTGACACTATACAGATTATGCCATGTTCCCCTGCTTGAGAAGCAATGCTATAACCCAGTTAGCACCCTTGGATCTGGTCTTGCCTAGCCCAGGCTTGCCCTTCTATCCTCTCTAGGCCACAATAGCAATCCCAATTTGCCTGTAGTCAAACCTCCTTGAGTTACGATAGACATAGGTACATGTATAATTACATTTAAGAGTATCAGTCCTTAAACGGTCCTACCGTTTTTCATAATTATCATTTTCCCTAGAATTAGCCAACTGTAAAAAATATTATTTTAAAAAACTAAATGTATATACACTGTTAGCACTGAAATTAGGTTTTAGTTTTAATTCAAAAAAATTAACCTGTCACTTTCAGACTTCTTTCTATTTAACTAATTGAGCAATTTGAGATAATAATGATCAAGCTATTCAGTCAAGGGAATAATTTTTCTTGCCCTCACATTTCATTCTTTTGTAATGTATTTTACTTTTCTACAATTCCAGAGCTTCTCCTTGTGAGGCTGAGCTTCAGGAATTAATGGAACAAATTGACATCATGGTGAACAACAAAAAATTGGACTGGGAAAGGAAGATGCGGGCTTTAGAGACTCGATTAGATCTTCGGGATCAAGAATTGGCAAATGCACAAACTTGTTTGGATCAGAAAGGTCAAGAGGTACATACTGAATACATGCGTTAACAAATCACTAATTCCTCAGACTTTTATAAATAGTGTTTATTCTATCAGAATGTGTTTTTCATCATACGTACTTCTTATCAGGCATCAGTAGCGGCATTTATTTTTTGAAATGTCTGTCAGCAAATAGTGTGCTAAATGTATTCTATCAAATAATTGACAGCCAGAGCCTAAATCCACAGAAATTTGCTGATGCTGGCAGACATACAGTGTCAATTCCATCTAGAAAAGTAAACACACATTTCATGTAGGTGTGAAATAAATATTGTTTGCAAGCAAAGATGTAAGTGCTGTTGCTGCTATAGAATCAGAGAAGTAGTCATCAAAGCTGTGTCTTTGGACAAGGTAGAGTTCAGGAACATTTGCCTCTTCTAATCTGCTAGGAAAATATTTCCTGAAGGAAGTGAAACACCAACAGTTGATTATAGGACAAAGGAAAAGGTTGGTGAAGGCGTGTGTGTAACCCCAGATCACCCACTTAAGAGGGCTCTCTGAGCCCCTTCTGGGCTGCTTACTGCCAAGCTGGGGATCGCAGGAGAGTATATGTGTACTCTCAGGCCTGTGAGGGAGTTCAGGAAAACCATATGCTTTATATAGTGTGGACTTTTATGTCTCTCTATTTTTCTTTTGGGCTAGTCATAAGAGAAATGTTTACTAATTATATACTAAAACATCATTAACTTGTTCATCAACCATTTGCCTATCATTATTGCTCCTCAGTGGAACTTAGGGGCCACAGGAAACAAGTACTTAGCATCTATTTTCTCCTTATGATGGAGTCATGTCATCAGGCCTGGCATATGCAAGGGACTACTCTTTCACCTCTATACCTGTAATGACACAGATGTGTAAACAGGTGCTTCACCTTTTTAAGCAGACAAATTCTACAAGCCAAATCCTTAAGAACTGCTCTTAGACTTTTTTTTATATGTTAGTTCTTAGAAAAATGTAACAGTTATTCCATAGTACCCACAAAGCAGAGCTCCCATTGAAGGCTGTTATTCTTAGGTGCCATTGAGTAGATTTTGACTCATAGCAACCCCATGTGACAGAGGAGAACTACCCAATAGGGTTTTCTAGGGTGTCATCTTTTTTGTTTTTTTGTGCTTTAAGTGAAAGTTTACAGTTCAAGTTAGTTTCTCATACAAAAATTTATACACATATTGTTATGTGACCCTAGTTGCTCTCCCTATAATGTGACAGCACACTCCTCCTT